AAAGTGTTCTTGTGGGTCAAGGGAAAGCAAAAATTTGGAAGCTTTGTTGCTCACAGAGAGGGACCAGCAACGCTAAATATTTCACAAGCCACATCGAAGAGTTGAGAGGACGTAACAAAAAGAGCAGCAGTGAACTCTGTGAGAGCAGCAGCAGCACAGTGGTGTGGCTCCATTTGTTTGGCCTGAGGTACGGAAGGGAATGCGACAGAGAAACAGTGCGTCTGGAATATTCTTTCCAGACTGTTGGCTAAAAAATGGATGGAGAAAATGTAGGATGCCAGCTAGAAGAATAAATAGAGTCAAGTGTGTGTGAGTGTACGTGTGCACGTGTGTGTGCATCAGTCCTAATAAGCAATAAATTAATCATGGTTAAATCCTGTTTTGGAATCAGTTGTAAAGGGAGTGTTTGAAATCAAGCAAAGGTTTGAAGAAGATGTAAATATGAGATCCATTTCATGATGCAGATAATAACTCCAACTAGAAAAGAAATTTCTTTTAGAATAATGTGAAGGAAATAAGAAAGAATAACTAGAAATGCAATTTTTAAAAGGTATGGTCCATAAAACATCATCGGCCATGAGTTGATAATCACTGAAACTGGATGATACATACATGAGGATTCATTATAACATCCTCTCTCATTTTGTGAATGTTTTAAATTTTCCATAATAAAATAGTTGAACAAATACTGACAAAAAATTTGGGTAAAAAAATTGCTGTATTACTCAGAAGGTGACTGGGAAGTAGGAGGAAAAGCTATCTGCTTAAAGTAGATTGAGGCAAGGTGTTGTGGCACAGCAGGTTAAGCCTGTCTGCAGTGTCGGCATCCCATATGAGCCCTGTTCAATGCCAGGCTGCTCCACTTCCAATCCAGCTCCGCACTAACATGCCTGAGAAAGCAGTGGAAGACGGCTCAAGTACTTGGGTCCCTGCCACCTTTGGGGGATATCTGGATGGAGTTCCAGGCTCCTGGCTTTGGCCTGGCACAGTCCCAGGCCATTTCGGCTATTTGGGGCATGAATCAGTGGATAGAAGATCTCTCTCTCTCTCTCTCGCTCTCTCGCTCTAGCTCTAGCTCTCTCTCTCTCTCTCTCCTCCTAACTCTGCCTTTCAAATAAATCTTTTAAAAATGTCGTAGATTGAGGGCTTAGCAAGAGTGACGTTTGAAATTGCTGCCGTGCAAATGGAAGAGAGTTGATGTTCCATGAGGTCACAGATCTTGCATTTTCCAATGGCAAATATTTGTGTCTTCTAAGATTTTCTTTAGGCGTTCTAAGGAGTGTAAGTGTAGGAGCCATTGGAGAAATCCATAATTGATTTTGATAACCTGGTGCAAGTAAATATTAAGGGAAGCTTCAGTGAGAAAGATTTAAAGTAGAGAGTGTTGCTTACCATTAATGAAAATCCTAGTATGGTTTTTTAAGAATAAGAAAATACTTTTGTATAGTAGTCTTAGAGTTTTGAATTAGATTCTGAGAAAAAGAACAAAAACTAACTTTGGAGTTTAAGGTAGTTTTGATTTGAAAAAAAATCCTCTCATGTATTGGCATACAACATTGATTATAAATATTTACAAGGAAACTGAATGGTAGTATAATAAAATGACCCAAATATACTTTCAGAAATATCTCTAGATTTTAAATCAAATGTGCCTTTAAGTGCTTCAAAATTATTTATAATGAAACACTAATATCTGGAGGCAAAGTTATTTCAGATATTGACCTCCAAATTTAGCAACCTTTCTGCTGTCTGCTGTCTGCTGATGGCTCACTTTTCCATTCCGGACTTCCAACTGTTACTCTCACTCCCATTTAAATGTACTTTTCATGAAGACTAATTATTGTACATCTTCCACATTCTACCAGTATCCTCATGGCCTACGAATTCCTTAAAGCAGAGTGACCCACAGTTCACTCGGCACTGGTGATCACTGGCAAAATTTCAGTTTGCTGTATACTCACTGCACAAATGTGTTTACATTTTATTAACTGGGCCCTTGGATTTAAATATTTTGGGTGGTGGATTACTAGTAACCAACACCAAAAAATACTACTTCTTTAGTCAAAGCTGCAACATAAGGGTTAATATTACTAGGGAAAAGGAAGCCAGTGCTCTGAGCAGGGTGGGGCTTAATGGATATCATGGTGAACTGTAAATAGTGTGCTTATACACAAATTAATTTGTATAGTTTCAATATGGGCTTAATTGTATCCCTTAAATGTCCGCGTTGTCAGAGGTTTCTAACTTGCATTGCAGATTTTTGGAGGGCAAGAAACATCTGTGAAACCCTATTAATGAGAGCCAGATGCTCCTGGAATGACACAGTCACTGGCAGTTCAGGTAACCATAGAGAAATTAAAGTAACCCTCTCATCGATGACAACTGTCAAGCAGACAAAATCGAAAGGCATCATCAGAAAGCCATCTTAAAAGTGAAGAGGGTTAAAAATTACAGGGCCAAGCAGAGTTATAGAGAGAGAGAAAGAGAGAGAAAGAGAGATCTTCCATTTGCTGGTTCACTCCCCCTAGATGATCACAAAGGCCAGGGCTGGGCCAGGCTGAAGCCAGGGGCTTTACCTAGGTTTCCGAAGAAGGTGGCAGGGGCCCAACAATTGGGCCATCTTCTGCTGCTTTTCCCAGGCATATCAGCAGTGAGCTGGATTGGAAATGGAGCAGCCAGAACCTGAACTGGCACCCAAGTAGGATGCTGGCATTGCAGGCGGTGGCTTAACCCACTATGCCCACAATGCCAGCTCTCCATTTTAAGAATCTGTTATAGCTCTCCTTCAGAGAAGAGCCCCCAACACCTGTCCCAGAGCCAAGGCCACTCCTGGGGCCTCAGCTTCTCTCTCAGGCAGCAACAGGAGGGCCTGCCTGGTCCAGCACAGTGCTGCTCTTGGGGCTCGAGAGGCAGAAGACAGTCACTTTGACCTTATTTTCTCTGCGAGAATTTTCACGTTTAACCAGAGAGACTAAGTAATTGAGATGTTGAATGAATTTTTAACAGCTTCACAGGGCTGGATAGACAGGAATTGGAGTCTTGGGACTAACCAAGTTGAAACAAGGAAGGGTAGAGGTTAGAGATTCTCCCCTAAGGATGGGACTGTGAAAGTCAAAGCATATACTTTAGTCGAGCTGTCCATCATAGAGACTCTTGCTCAGCTCATCATCTCAGTCACTGGACTTGGACTGAAGTGATCCCTCATTGCTGCTGCCAATGAGCACTTGCTGGAATTACAGCGAAATCCTCTCTGGAGGGAGATAACATTAACCTACACTTCAAATGACTTCTTGCAACAATTTTGGTAAGACACTGTCGAGCACACAGGAAAAAATAACCAGGCATCAAATCAGATAAGACATAATTTAAAAAATTGGAGAAACAATAAATGATAGGAATATACACACAGAGACTACATGTATTGGGTTTTGGGTGTTGTCAGACAATTTTAAAATAATTGTGTTTGCTACAAATAAAAGATGTGATTAAGAATAGAAATTCAAGGTGTCTGGTGCAGTGGCGCAGCAGGTTAAGCCCCTGCCTGTGATGCTACCCTCCCATAAGATTCTGGGTTCAAGTCCTTGCTGCTCCACTTCTGTTCCTGCTTCCTGCCCATGTGCCTGAGAAAGCAGCATTAGATGGGACAAGTACTTGGGTCCCTGCCACCTACCTAGGAGACCTGGCTGGAGTTCCAGGCTCCTGGCTCTGGCCTGGCCCACCTGGGGAGTAATCCGATAGGTGGAAGTTATTTAGACTCTCTCTCCCTCTCTCTATCTCTCCCTTCCTTCTTCTCTCTCTCTCTTCCTCCTTCTCTCTCTCTCTCCCTCCCTCTTACTCTGCCTTTCAAATAAATAAATACATTTTTAAAAAAGAATGGAGATTTTGGGGCTGGCACTGTGGCACAGCGGGTTAATGCCCTGGCCTGAAGTGCCGGCATCCCATATAGCCGCCAGTTCTAGTCCTGGCTGCTCCTCTTCCGATCCAGCTCTCTGCTATGGCCTGGGAAAGCAGTAGAAGATGGCCCAAGTCCTTGGGCCCCTATACGCGTGTGGGAAGACCCGGAGGAAGCTCCTGGCTCCTGGCTTTGGATTGGCGCAGTTCTGGCCGTTGCAGCCAATTGGGGAGTGAACCATCGGATGCAAGACATCTCTCTCTTTCTCTCTGCCTCTCCTCTCTCTGTGTAACCCTGACTTTCAAATAAATAAATAAGTAAATATGTTTTTTAAAATGGAGATTCGAGAATTGAGAAATTAAATAAAAATTAACTTGGTGAACAGGTTTAACTGCAGACTGGACAATAGATGAAGCTTGATTTAATTTAAAGTTAGGTCGAAAAATATCCAACCTGAAACATGAAGTTCGTTTATTTATTTATTCATTTATTTGAGAGGCAGAGGTGCGGGGGCTGGGGGGGAGTCCTTCCACCCGCTGTTTCACTCCACAGATGGCCACAATGGCCGGAGTTGGGCCCATGTGAATCCAGGAGCCAGGAGCTTCTTCCAAGTCTCCCACATAGTTACAGGGGCCCAAGGGCTTGGGCCATCTTCTACTGCTTTCCATAGCAGAGAGCTGGATTGGAAATGGAGCAGCCGGGACTCAACCTGGCGCCCATATGGGATGCCGGCGCCTGTAGGCGGCATCTTTACCCTATACCCCACAGCACCAGCCCCAAAACATGGAGTTCTAGAAATAAAGACAGAAAACATCCAAGGGAGAATACATGACTTAAAGGACTCAGTAAGATCTTACCTCGGGTTGCGATGTGAAACACTGGCACCTTATACACCAGCGACAGATCCTGGAAGTGCCTTGCAACAGACGTCCCGGCCAACTGCTGAGCGCAGATCCAGAAACCAGCGGGTGCAAGAGGCGGGGCCTCACTTCAGCCTTGCAGTTGAATGGTCAGATTGGCGGACGCACGCACTGCGTCCTCACGTACTACAGCGCCAACGTGGCCCCTTGTGTGCCGCGGGTTTCTCCCGCGGTCGCCGCCATTTTACTCGCTGCTAAACACCACAGCTGTGTCAGAGTCGCCGGCGTTGAGGCTGCTGCCATGTCGTCACTGCCGCTGCGCGTAGCTGTGGTGTGTTCAAATAATCAGAACCGAAGCATGGAGGCGCACAGGATCCTCAGCAAACGAGGTTTCAACGTCCGGTCTTTCGGAACGGGCGCTCAGGTGAAACTTCCAGGGCCGGCAATTGACAAGCCAAATACTTACGATTTCAAAACCACGTATGAGGAGATGTATAACGATCTTGTTAGGAAAGACAAGATCCTCTATACACAGAATGGAATTCTACATATGTTGGACAGAAATAGGAGAATCAAGCCGCATCCAGAAAGGTTCCAGAGCTGCAAGGATACATTCGATCTGATCCTCACTTGTGAAGAGAGAGTCTACGACCAGGTAGTGGACTGTCTCACCTCTCGAGAACAGGAGACCTGCCAGCCGGTACACGTGATCAACGTGGACATCCAGGACAGCTACGAAGAGGCCACCATAGGGGCGTTCCTCATCTGTGAGCTCTGCCAGGGTCTTCAGCACACCGAGGACATGGAGAACGAGATGGAGGAACTGATCCAGGCGTTGGAGAAGAAGAGCGGCAGGGCCTTCCTGCACACCATCTGCTTCTACTAGACTGTCCGCTTAGAGGCCGCGCTCCGCCTGGCCTCCGAAGCCATCTTTCTTGAGCTTCTTGTTAAGACTTTTCTCCTTCTTGATAACAGTTTTTACTTTTAGGTTGTTCTGCAAGTGGACAGTAGTAATGCCACCAGATTTACCTCGGTGAACTATGTATATGAAATGAGAAGATATACATAAATGCTACATCAAAAACAAGTTTTTCTAGCCTACTTTACTTAGAAGTGGGCTGTTGATTATGAAGCTTTTTTCTAAGAAAAAAAATAAAAAAATTAAAAATGTTCATAGAACATTTTCTTCTAACCTATGTGTGTCCTTATTTGTGCCCGCCTTTCCCTTTTCTTCTGCCAAGATGGTACCTGCACAGAGCAATGGGTTGTACATTATTAGAAAAGAACCTGAAGCTGTCCAATAAATAGATGTTGTTAGTTATCAAAAAAAAAAAAAAGAGGCCGGCGCCGCGGCTCACTAGGCTAATCCTCCGCCTTGCGGCGCCGGCACCCCAGGTTCTAGTCCCGGCTGGGGCGCCGGATTCTGTCCCGGTTGCCCCTCTTCCAGGCCAGCTCTCTGCTGTGGCCAGGGAGTGCAGTGGAGGATGGCCCAAGTCCTTGGGCCCTGCACCTGCATGGGAGACCAGGAGGAAGCACCTGGCTCCTGGCTTCAGATAGGCGCAGCGCCAGCTGTAGCGGCCATTTGGGGGGTGAACCAACGGAAGGAAGACCTTTCTCTCTGTCTCTCTCTCTCTCTCTGTCTGTCTAACTCTGCCTGTAAAAAAAAAAAAAGGATTATTTGTATTTAATTTGTCTCTGAGAAAAGATAATTAACAGTATAGAAACAATATTTTAAAATATGGTAGCTGAGGATTTTCCAAAATTGTCTTTTTTTTAGAGATCTATTTATTTATTTGAAAGAGTTACACAGAGAGAGAAGAGGCAGAGAGAGAGGTCTTCCACCCGCTGGTTCACCCCAGACGGCCGCAACAGCCGGAGCTGCGCTGATCGGAACCCAGGAGTCAGGAGCCTCCTCCCGGTCTCCCACGCGGGTGCAGGGGCCCAAGGAGTTGGGCCATCTTCTACTGCTTTCCCAGGCCATAGGCGAGAGCTGGATCAGAAGTGGAGCAGCTGGGACTCGAACCGGCACCACTGTGGGATGCACTGCAAGCAGCGGCCTTACCCCCTATGCCACAGCACTGGCCCCCAAAATTGATTTTTAAAAAAATGCTATGAACTCTAAGGAAGAAGTGAGGTGAGGCTGGAAAATTCATTTGCATTCAAAATATCAAGGATTCATCTGCTGGGTGTAAACAGTCTCAGTGCCTGAAACAAATAGTTTAATTTGTTTTAAAGGCATAGTACTAGGATGGATGATTGAAGGTTTTGAGGAGAAGAATAGGGGCTGGCACTGTGGCACAGTAGGTTAATCCTCCACCTGCAGTGCCAGCATCCCATATGGGCGCTGGTTCTAGTCCCTGCTGCTCCTCATTTGATCCAGCTCTCTGCTATAGCCTGGGAAAGCAGTAGAGGATGGCCCAAGTCTTTGGGCCCTTGCACCCACGTGGGAGACCTGGAAGAAGCTCCTGGCTTCATACTGGTGCAGCTCCAACCATTGTGGCCATTTGGAGAGTGAACCAGCAGAAGGAAGACCTTTCTCTCTGTCTCTCCCTCTCACTGTCTGTAACTCTACCTCTCAAATAAATAAACAAAATCTTAAAAAAAAAAAAAACAGGTGGTCTGGAGTGCAAATCCTGATTTCATCTCAACTAGCTCTATTTCCTAGGGAATGTTGCCTAAATTCTCCGGTCTCAGTTTTCTGCTCTGTAAATTGGGCATTTGAAGTTAATACTATAGTATGTGTAAAGTGCTTGGCCCCGGTACCTGGGAAGCAATGAGCAGGCAGTAAGCATAGAGTGAGAAGTATGGCTCTAAAGGAATCTGGAAGAAGCTCCTGGCTTTAGATTGGTGCAGTTCAGCTCCAGCAGTTGTGGCCAATTGGGGAGTGAACCATCACACAGAAGACCTCTCTCTCTCTCTCTCTCTCTTTCTCTCTCTCTCTCTTCCTCTCCTCTCTCTGTGTAACTCTGACTTTCAAATAAATAAATAAATAAATATTTTTTAAAAAAGATCTATTTGGCTGTTAGACCTGAATGGCCATGCCGTCACCCAATGTTCTGCAAAAATGTACACGCCTAGCTAGAGTGAGTTTGATAAGAGGTAAGCATTTCCTTTTTCATGATTTTTGTCAGTTGTACCACAGTCCCCAACTATTTGTGTGAGTCCAGCAGGTTGCTCACTTCTCATATAGTTATATGAGGCAACTATAACTATAGTTATAAGAAGCAACTCAGAAATATTAAGGGGAAACTTGTTTCGTTAATCCACTCCTCCTTTCCACGTGGCCATTTCTTCAACCAAGCTTAATACTTAAGAGCAAGAGCTCAGAGCAGACACTGCTTATTTTCTTAGCCCAAGCAAGCTGTTTTGCAAAAGAGGTTAAGAATAGATTGCAGCTTCTAAGGTCTCTGTTTTCTCCCCTATTGCTTTAATTTAGACAAAAGGAAATCAGTTTGTCTAAGGATTTCCTGAGGCTCCAGTTCCCCAAATGAGATGCGAAGGTCAAATGGCCTACTCAGGAAGATGTCAGTGGGTGGGCCCCACCAGTGGGTAGCTTGCCATGCTTATTGTGGTTCCTCCAACTGCACCACTGAGAGAACCAGGCGGAGAGCAGGAAAGGGTGGCCAATGAAGGGATGGAAAGGAGGAATACAGGAGGAACATGTTCTCATTGTTCTAGCACCTCAGAGAGCCTCAGCAAAATCCTGTTTTCCCCAAGTTAATCTGTGTACTGCCAGCTCCCTGTTCAACCATCCCAGAACAAGTATCATAGGTGAGATGATTTCTGGGACCCTCATCTGCTCGCTTCTCCTAGGCACTGTCATCCCCTTCTCCAACACTGATCTCTAATCTCCCCCATGCCGGGCCTGTCCCTTGCCAGCATACCAAATGTGACCCGATCCTGTCAAGTGGACCTTTGTTTCGCTTGCTCACCTTTGCCCCACAGAACCCGAGCTAATGTGCGTGTTTGCTCTAGCTATGCCCCAAAGAAGACCAAACACATCGGCATGTTCAAGAAACTAGGAGCCTCTTAAGTCACTGTCAAGTAGCGGTGTCTGGGCTCTGCCAGAAAGAGTGGCACCTTGAAAGAGCGGCAAGGATTTGAACAAACAATGCTTTAACCTTTTTGTTCACCTTGGTGGTGGTCTAACTCAGTGCTAATTCAGGTTGTTTTGAATTTTGTTTCCGTGTATGGACAGACTTGTGGGCTTATTTAGGAGAGGAACCATGCCCATCTGGCTGATCGTCATGCCAACCCACATACAACCCTCCCCCAACACCTGTGTCTGGCACACAGAGTTCTACAATTGTTCCTCAGACTTAATGAGAATAAGCACACGATTGTGGATTTTCTCATACTGAATCTAGAGACAGCATGAAGCACTTTCCTGTTTAATAGAAGCCCTCAAAATATCAGTTTTAATATTTGCTGAGTACTGTGTAAATCATTCAATGATTAATTCTCTAGTATCTGATGGATCTAGTTATTCTCATGAAAGATTTGTGGATAAAGCAATTTTATTGAAATTCTGATTTAAGAACAATGGAGATACAAAAGTTAGATTTGACTGTAGATGGAAGTTGTTGAAAGCCAGATTTGAGCGGATTTATGCTTAAAGATATTAATCAATGACAGTGATAGTGAAGCTTCTAGAGTGGCTATTTTCTCATTGGAAGTCCTCAGCCATGTACTTACAACATTTGCCTTTCTCCTAACAAGGCATATTTTGATAAAAGGGAAAAAAACAGCTGTCTTTAATGGCCTATCAAATTCTATTCTCAAGTGCCCCCCTACCCCTCGCCCCATCCCAATCAAGGGCATAATCATCTTCCCAGTGCATCAAGTCTATGATAACTAGCCTTTCTCTCTCATCCACACCATCTCCATCAGCAAGTACAATCACTCCAAGCTCTTATTTCTGTTTTTTAGTTTTTCACTGGTACCACTCCAGCACCCGACCTTCCCCACAAGAGGGAAATAGACCTTGAAATTTCCTCTCTGTGACTATTCCTATTTCCTTAACAACCCAGACTCATCAGATCAGCATCTCTAATACTCTTTTATAGGCACAAAATAGTTCATGTCATATGTCTGCCTGTCATTGCATTGCAAATAAAATTGAAGCTCTTTTCCAATGCCTCTAGGGCCCTCACGATCTAGTTCCTCTTTTACCTCAAGGCCCTTCATGTTCCCCCTTGTTTTCTATACTCCTGTCATGAAACTCCAGCCTTTCCAGCCAACTTCTTGTTCTTTAAACACCATGAGCTTATTTCTCTCTGAATCCTCATACTTGCTGTTTACTGATCATTGTTCCCCTGGGACTAACATCATTATAAATACAACAGGCGCTCCTTGAAACAACTAAAATATATGGAGTACAAACAGAAAGCAACTTTATTCTTCCTTACTCCTGCTCCTTTGTTATATAATTTGTTCCTCAGCCTTGAATGAATTCTTGGGCAGATCCCATAGTTTGTTTGATGGCTTTCAGATATGAAGAGCTCCAGTAAAAATCTAGAGTTGTGGGTGTCAGTAGGTGAGGCACCACTGAGTGAGTGGAGAGCACTGGAAATCTGTGGAACACTTGTCCTTGTCATGGTGGAGCATGAGATTCAATAGCATTGGCCGTAGAAACCAGGGTTTCTGCCAGTAAGTGAACATTTGTTCTAGGTACTGGATGGCTTCCAGGTTTCCTGATGGGTTATCATGTTCATGTGAAAAACATAAAAATACAAAGTATATTTTTTGCCTTTTGTTACTGCACACTATATTTCCCAAAATTGCAACCACTGGATGAATAAAAGGATGATTGTGCATTATGTGGTTCAGAACTTTACCAAGAGTTGATCACCATTTCAGAAAAACTATTTTAGTAACAGAGGGACCATGTCTGGTATATCAACAACCACTGTGACACATTTGAATCAGACTTCATTAGTAGCTGTTGTATGTATGGCAGTTCTGTGTATATATAGGAATACGATTACTTAGTCCTTATTTCAAATGGCTAAACATAAAGAAAAGACATTGGCTATATGCAACTGAATATTGTTACTTCGATTCAGGCTGCTTCACTACGAGTAGTTGCAAGCATTTGCTTCATTATGTCATCTAGTGT